TTAACATCATTCTACTTTAAATAAATGACTTATACTATTTTTTATTTTTACATTCACAGTTATTATATCAATAAAATAGAATATACGAAAGAACAATAAGAACAAAACATCTCACCAGAAATAATGATGAAAATACCGAATATAGATAGTGTAGATAGAAATTTAATGAGATTTGAAGGAAATAAAAAACAATAAAAATTCAAAAACAAAAACATTTCTTAAAACGGAATAGCATAATATTTACAAAAGTGATTCGTTTGAACCAGTTACAATTAATATTACCAAGAAAGTAGTAAAATAACAGTACATTACAAATTAACTACTTTGATATAAAAGAACAAAAATTCGCACTTTAAAAACATACTTTCCTCCAAAACATCTTTTTTATAAAAATGATTTTTGTTATTATAAATATTACTCATTAAAAAAAAGAATAAAAATCTAATAGAATTGAAAAAAGTTAAAAATCAAATAGTTAATACTTGAAAACTTTTCATTATTAAATTAGATGAAATGAAGTTCCATAAGTTTTATGGAAATATACACAACCTTCAACCAGTGGTTATTTCAATTAGAAAACATAATTATTAATGATAGTTCTGTTTGGTTTTATTAAAAACAATAACATTAGATTGGTAATATTTAAGACAGAAATAAAAGTAACAAAAAAGGAGAAATTGTTATAAATAACTAAAATAAAAACAAAAAATTTCAAATTTGAGTTATGAAGTAAACCCTTCAAAAGAAAAGAAATAATAAAGAAATAATAAAAACAATTAAAGAGAAGAAATGAAAAAGAAAGAATAACTGAGAAAAAGTATAATGGAGAGAATTAAAAAGGAACAGGTGGATGATTATATAAAAAAAAATAATATTGAAATGGAGGATATTGAAAATGAAGTTTATTGTCCAGACTTAGGGAGAGCTATTAATACTGTTGAAGATAAATGGAGATTAATTCCAGCCTTTGTTAAAGCAAGAGGATTAGTCAGACAACACATAGACTCATTCAATTATTTTATTGATGAAGAAATAAAACAAATTGTTAAAGCAAATGATAAAATTACATGTGATGCTGATCCAAGATTTTATTTAAAGTATTTGGATGTAAAAGTTGATACTCCATGTGTTGAAGTTGATTATAAAAAAGAGTCAATTACTCCACAAGAATGTAGACTAAGAGACATATCATATACAGCACCTATACTTGCCAACATTCAATATACTAGGGATAATAAAATATTTAGAAAAACTGTTACAATTGGATATATGCCTATAATGTTACAAAGTAAACACTGTGTTTTATATAATAATACATTTGAAGAATTTATAAGACATGGCGAATGTCCAATGGATCCAGGTGGATATTTTATTGTAAAAGGTGTTGAGAGGGTTATTCTTTCACAAGAACAAATGAGTAAAAATAGAATTTTAATTGAAACAACTACTCAAGGATTCTTATCAGCATCAGTTACATCAGCTACTCATGAAGTTAAGTCACGTACAGTCGTTTATTTAAAGAAAGGAAAGTTATATTTAAAACATAACAGTTTAACAGAAGATCTTCCAATTATGATTGTTATAAAAGCAATGGGAATGGAGAGTGATATGGAGTTTTTACAATTTGTTGGTAATCATTATACATCTAAGATGATTAACTCTATTGAAGAGTGTAAGGCAAAAGATGTATTAAATCAAAGAGAGGCATTAAGATATATTGGAAATCATTTAAAAATTTATACTGGTCAAAAAGGATATATTTCTAAAAGACCTAAAATCGAAGAGGCACGTGATGTATTAGCCAATTTGGTTCTTCCTCATATTGAAGTTAATAGATATAATTTTAAAACTAAAATTATTTATATCGCTTTAATGGTAAATTGGATTCTTAAAGCTGATGAAACAGGTGAGTTAGATGATAAAGATTATTATGGTAATAAAAGAATGGAATTAGCAGGACAGTTAATGTCATTATTGTTTGAAGATCTTTTTAAACAATTTAACACTGACTTACAAAATGCTGCTAATAAGGGTTTAACTAAAAAATCAAGAAGTGAGACTTTTGATATCATTAAATGTATTTCTCCACATAGAATAACTCAAGGACTTATTCATTCTTTGTCAACTGGTAATTGGGTATTAAAAAGATTTAATATGGATCGTGCTGGTATTACTCAAGTTCTTTCTCGTTTAAGTTATATTTCTGCATTAGGAATGATGACTCGTTTAAATTCTCATTTTGAAAAAACACGTAAAGTTTCAGGACCACGTTCATTACAAGGGTCTCAATGGGGAATGGTTTGTCCTTCAGATACACCAGAAGGAGAATCTTGTGGTTTAGTTAAAAACTTTTCATTATTAACAGAAGTTACTACAGATTCTAATGATCAAGCAATTGTGACAATGTTATTTAATCTTGGAGTTGAAGACGCTAATTTAATTTCTGGAGATGAGGTTAATGCACCAAGTAGTTATTTAGTATTTTTAAATGGTCAATTACTTGGAATTCATCAAAACCCAATTCATTTCTTAAAACAATGCAGATTATTAAGACGACATGGGCGATTAGGAAAGAAAGTATCATTGCATTTAAATGAAATGCAAAGAAGTATTAATATTTCTAGTGATGGAGGAAGAGTATGTAGACCATTAATTGTTGTAGAGAATTGTAAAAGTAAAATTGGTCCAAAAGAAATAAGAGATATTGTTGAAGGATTTAAGAGTATTGAAGATTGTTTAAAAGAAGGGTTAATAGAATATCTTGATGTCAATGAAGAAAATAACTCATATATTGCAATTAATGAAAATGAAATTAATGAACATACTACTCATCTTGAAATTGATCCATTATCAATTCTTGGAGTTGTGGCTGGACTTATTCCTTATCCACATCATAACCAATCACCAAGAAATACATATCAATGTGCTATGGGTAAACAGGCAATTGGAACAATTGGATATAATCAATTTAAAAGAGTTGATACATTACTTTATTTATTATACTATCCACAAATACCAATGGTTAAAACAAAGACTATAGATATGATTAATTTCGATAAATTACCTGCTGGTCAAAATGCTATGGTTGCTGTGATGAGTTACTCTGGTTATGATATTGAAGATGCTTCTATCTTAAATAAAGCTTCAATTGATAGAGGGTATGGAAGATGTTTTGTTTATAGAAAAGCTGAATGTGTTATCAAAAAATATAAAAATGGAGCATGTGATCGGGTTGTATGTCCTACAGACGAAGAAAGAGAATTACCAAAATACAAATCATTGGATTTTGATGGCGTTTGCTCTCCAGGTTCTATCTTAAATCCAGGTTCTATTTATTTAAATAAACAAGTTCCTCTTAATACAATTGGAACTCTTACTACAGACACTATAAAAGATGATGAATACAGAAGAGAAGTATTGACATATAAAGGACCAGTTCCTAGTTATGTTGATCAAGTCTTAATTACTTCAAACGAAGAAGAACCATTAAAAGTTAAAATCTCATTAAGAACCTCAAGAAGACCAGAACTAGGAGATAAGTTTTCATCAAGACATGGACAAAAGGGAGTTACTGGTTTAATTGTAAATCAAGAAGATATGCCATTTACTAATACAGGAATTTGTCCTGATGTTATTATGAATCCACATGGTTTCCCTTCACGTATGACAGTTGGAAAACTTCTTGAATTAGTAAGTGGTAAAGCAGGATTAATGGATGGATCATTTAAATATGGTACTGCCTTTGGTGGAGATAAATTAGATGATATGTCAAAAATATTGATTGAAGCTGGTTATTCTTATGATGGAAAAGAAGAATTATATTCTGGAATCACTGGTAAAGCCCTTCATGCTTATATATTCATTGGCCCTGTTTATTATCAAAAATTAAAACATATGGTTCTTGATAAAATGCATGCTCGTGCTCGTGGACCAAAATCAAGTCTTACAAGACAACCAACAGAAGGTAGGTCAAGAGATGGTGGATTGCGTTTAGGAGAAATGGAACGAGATTGTCTTATTGGTTATGGAGCAACTAATTTGTTGTTAGAAAGATTAATGTATTCATCAGACGCATTTAAAGTTTGTGTTTGTAAAAAGTGTGGTTTAATTGGACATTCTGGATATTGTAAATTCTGTGAATCCTCGTTATATTGTACTAATGTAACAATGCCATATGCCTGCAAATTATTGTTCCAAGAAATGCAATCAATGAATGTAGTTCCTCGTTTATCTATCAAGACTTATTAAATTGAGTTTAAATTGATTTGGTTGCTTTTAACATAACTTTAATCATAATTAATTTTATCATTTAAGAAAATAACTTATAAAAATTTTTTTAATAAATTTCATTCAATTAATCAATTTTTAGACATTAATTTTATCTCTTCTTTGAAAAGCTTTTAGACCCACTAACATCATCCACATTAAATGCACTGCTAGTCGAATTAATAGTATTTCCAAATTGACTAAGGCTATTTGAAAATGAACTAAAGGGATTCCCATTGGACGTATTTCCCTGGACTGATAAATTTGAACCACCAATTTGACCAAATCCTATTTGATTTTGTTGTCCTCCAGAAAAGTTAATTGTTTGATTTCCAAAGTTTGTATTTCCAAATGGATTTGTGTTGTTTTGAGACGTATTTTGTAATTGACCATTCATACCTTCTGTTGGTTTATTAGAGTTAAAAAAGTTTGAAAATCCCAAATTTGTATTGTTTGTTTGATTAGTTCCTAAAGTGAGATTAGTTAATGGTCCTTGAGCCGTTGAAGAAGGTGTTGTTTGAGTATTTGAAAATCCAGCTATACTTGAACTACCTTGACCAAAAGAAGGAGTACTTTTTTCATTTGAAGGATTCACATTGGATGACCCAAAATTCCCAAAAACAAATCCAGATGTTGTAGTTTGTTTTTGAGACTCTAAACCTGGACTATTTGGAACGTTCAAACCTGAATTTTGTTCTTGTCCTGAAAATAACTTAGATGTTTGTACTACTGTTGTGTTAGAATCCTTTGCAGAATTTTCTGTTGAACCAATTGAATTATTATTGTTTGTTGATGATTTATCTTGTAATTTATTGTCATTAATTACACCAAAACCAAATGAAGAATTTCCTAATTGGTTAGTTGTTGTAGTTGATGAAGTGAATGCTGCAAATGGGTCAACGCTTGCTTTATCATTTGAAGTATTAAATGAAAATCCTGTATTAGCAAAGGTATTAGTTTTTGATTGTTCAGAATCTGTTTTTGTTGTTGAGGTACTAGTTTTTGGTTGTTCAAGAGTTGGAGCAGTTGTAAAATTATCTGTTTTATTATTATCTGAATTTACTGTAATAGGTTTTGATTGATCATTACTTGTATTTATTGGTTTATCAGAACTTGGCACTGAAGTAGTTGATGTAATAGTTTTTGATTGATCAGTTAATGGAGTGTTACTAATTAATGTATCTTTTTGTTTGTCAGTTGAAGTACCAAATGAAAATCCATTAAGAGAGAATGGATTAGCTAATGGTGTCTCTACATTTGTATTTGATTCTTTTAATTTTTCTGTTGAAGAGTCTTGTGTTGAATTAGATTTAGGTTTTTCATTTGATAAACCAAATGAAAATTCACCAAGAGAAAATGGATTATTTGATAATTTATCAGTATTTGTAGTTGTTGGTTGTGTTGATAAATTTGTTGTACTTTTTTCATTAGAAGTTCCAAATGATAATTCTTTAATAGAAAAGACATTACTTCCTGATTTATCTGTAGTACTGGATGTTGTTTCAAAAGAATTATTTTGTGTTGTTTTTTGTTTATCATTATTTTCATTGATGATGGCATTAGTGTTAGAATTTTGTTTATCGTCTGATATACTAAATGAAAAACCAATATTTGAAAACATATTAGTACTTGGTTGTTCAGTAGTTGTACTTGGAGTTTTATCTATACTTATAGTTTGATTTTCCGTATTTGATTCTGTACTTTTTGGTTTATCAGTTAATAAAGCATTACCAGTAAATGTGTCTTGTTGCTTCTCTGTTGAAGTATTACCAAATGAAAATCCATTGAGAGAGAAAGGTGAACTTAATGGCTTTTCTGTTAAACCAGAAAAATTGGTTTCTATTTTTTTCTCAGTTGAGAGGGTTGTACCTAATGTTGGCTGAGTATCACTCTTTTTAGTATCATTAATAGCACCACCAAATAATGAAAATGAAGAACTTGGTTTTATATCAAAAGAAGGGCTTTTGGATTCTTCTGTAGTATTAGATGGTTTGTCTGTCTTAAAGTTAAGACTTAATTGATTTGTTTGGTCTGTTTTCTTTTGAGACAAACTAGAGTCTAATGGTAAAGTAAATGAAAGAGAAGAATTTTTAGTACTTGAATCTAAATGAAGTGGTTGTTCGTTGATGCTTTTATTTGAGTCTTTAATATCAAAAGATAAAATACCTTGACTTTTATCATTAACAGATCTTAAAGAATTATTTAAATCTACTACTTTCTTTTTCGGAGAAGATACTTTAACAGTTCTTTTAAGTGATGACCTTTTAAATTTTTTTCTTTCTTCGTTCTGTTCTTCTTGTTTTTCTTTTTTATCTTTCTTTCCTAATGGAACTAATTCTTCTTCCTCAGAAGAAGAACTCAACAATAATGAACTAATACTTGCTTTAAGAACTTTTTCGTCATTTGTATTTGAATTAAGATGACTAAATCCTTTAACACTATCCTTATTCATTAAACGTTCTTTTCTATCATTTAAACATTGAACAATATCTTCAAAATTTATTTCACGTAACTTAGCAATTGTTTGTCTAATTCTTGCAGAGTCAGTATCAGGCTTACGTTCAACAACCTTCTTTGTTGTTTTATCTTCTGTTTTTGTTATAACTTCTTCTACTTTTCGTTTAGTAACTTCTTTTGGACGTTCAAATTGTTCTTCTGGTTTTTCTCTTAAAAGATTTCCAGCGTCTTGTCTTTTTAATGTACTATCACTGTTTTGGGTTTGTGCAACAGGTTGTTCAGCATATTGTTCTTTTAATTTTTCCAACCTACGGTCAAAAGCAATACCAAATAACAACGATGTTTCTTGTTTAGGAATGCTAGAAATTCCTTGTGACAACGAAGATGAAAGTGGAAGAGTTGCCATGCGATGAATTCCTTGAGTTGGTCTTGAATTAGGACAAAAATAACCAGCAATATTCTGAACGAAGTCACTGAAATAATTAGTAGTACTAAGATCTTGTCTCTTCATTTGAATTACTCAGATTTAAAATTTTTTATTTTTTTTTATTTTTTTTTTTAGTTTTTTTAAGGGTTTATGAAAAAGGTTTTAACCATAAAAATGAGAATATAATAACAATCATACAAATTGATTGCTCCTTTGTTTATTACCTCCTTTTTTCAAATACTTTCTCACTTTGGTTTTATACAAAATTCTTTCAATTTATAAAAGAAATAATTTATTTTGTTAATGAACTTTAGATGTTTTTATTATCTCTTTAAATATAAAAAATGCTTTTCAAAAATTTAATTACGAATAATTTTAAACCAGAAAAAATACTTGAATGATTAAGGAAGTTAATTTATTAAATTAATAAAACGAATTATTTAATATGTGTATTATTTCCATATTATTATAATTAAATAAAATAGA